TTTTAAGTAATAATTAATATTAAACAAAATTAAATCTAACAAGAAATTTGGATCACTTTTTTAAGAAAAGCTTATAATTAATTAATTGTTCTTCTTTTTTTTCAGAGTTTTTAAAACTGTAAGTTTTTTTTTTAAATAAAGAGTAAATACTGTTTTTAATTATCAGTAATCAATCTTTTTTTAAAACTTAATTAGGTCAACTGGTATTAAACATGAGGGTTTTTTAAATTTAGCAATATTCTTACGCTAATGCACAAGGCTATCAACGCTTAAATTAACTTTTGAGTAAGCAGATTTATTTTAAATATTTTTCATATTAAAATTTTTTAAGATTATTTAGTTATTTATTTATTTTTTGTTTTTATTAATATCTTAAAATTTTTTATTGAAATTACTAATTTGAAATAATTAATTAGTTTATAATTTTCAGAGAGAAATTAATCTTTGATAAAATATTTTCTAAAAATTAAATAAATAATCATTTTTATTAAAAAAAAACTATTTTATTGAGTATTTACTTACATACTAACTTACTTATTTTTATAATAAAAATGACAATTTTAATGATTAAAATTTAATGAAAAGTGATATTTTTGATTTCTTAGAAAATAATTGCATTTATAATTGCTTGAAAATGCTAAGATTGGTTGAATTCTATTTATCTGATGATGATACACTTCATGATTTTAAGGTAATTTAAAATTTATTATTAGTATAAATAAATACCTATTTTATTTTGTTGCAATTAATTTATTTAAATCTATTTTTTACAAGATTTATAAGTTTAAAATAAATATTATATTTATTTATTTATTAATTTATTAGTTTACTACTTTTGAGAATTTATATAATAAATTAAATAATTGAAGATTTGTTTGTCTGTTTGTGCTAAACTTACTTTAAAAAAGATCATTTGAAGATTATATATTTTAAAGTTATTAATTAGAGTAATAAGTTAAATAAATATTTGTTTATATTCATATTAATTTAGATAATATTATTATTATTTGCACTCATCAATTAATTTTAGTAAATTTCTATTTCTTTATACATTCATTTTGTATGGCTATTATCTAAACTTAGTGCATAAGGACCAACCTACAAACTGACCTTATTTTTAAAATAAAATCTTTAACTTTTTATTATTTGTCAATACCATTTTTTACCATATTGTGTATGTAATATTATTTGATTAAAGCAATCTATTTAATTAATTTGCTTATGGGATTTCTTTTATAGCTTTTAGATTTGATGAGGCGGAGTTAGATAGTATATATAAATAAATTTTGATTTTATAAAGGTTGAATATAATATAAATCTATGGTGCCAATCCCTCAAATCTTTAACAATTGTATTGTGTGAGATTATGAATTAGAAACTGCAAATGAATTTATAACTATATCTATTTTTGAAGTATTTATTGACTGACACAGCAGCAAAGTAGAGTGCATTTTAAATATAAATTCTTTGATTTATTTTCTATCTGGTACGTTTCTAGAAAACGATTTCATGAGGTCTTGAAACCCTCATTAATCTTCAACTACATTAATACCATGACGAATAAGTCTATTCCTTTTAACTAATAAAAATACATTTTTTACTTATTTACATTTTATTTTATTTATTTATTTATTTATTATTTTTTTCACTTACTTTATAGATTCCTTTTTTATATAAAGAAATATTAATTATTTTTATTTTTTTAAAGAAAATTTTATTATTATTTTTACTTAAAAATTTTTAATTAATTAATACCCTCAAAATTTTTCTAAAATGTGGTATGAAGTAAATATTTTTCATACAAAAATATATCTTTTATTAATTAATTAAATCAATCCAATCAAATGAGAATTGATGTTATAATCAAACTAAATTATATTAAAAGAGTAAATATAAATTACATATAAAAAGAATAATGTTTCCCCTACATTTTTACTATGATTTAATTTATGAAAATATAATGAGGATAATCATTCTTTATTTTATGAGAACAATATTAAAACATTTCATTGAAAAAATATTATTAAATAAATTTATTGAACTTAATAAAAAAAATTGCTTTAATATTTTACTTTTTATCGAAAATAAATAAATAAATTAAAATAGAATATAAACTAATTAATTAATTTACACATTTTAATTGAAAATAGTTTTATTTGCAGATGCACTTGGATTAGATTTTGTCAGTTCAAAAAATATCATAAAATGTTGTGGAGAATCTATTCATTTGGAGAAAAACTAGCTTGTTTCTGTCGAGGCATTTGAAAAAATAGAAGATGGTGTTTGTCTTAGCTTAAGGAAATTATTTAATCTGCAGTATAAAATCCTTCCTATTTCAAAGTATATTTCTCTACCTAGTTGGATGTCATACGAATTTAAGAATGGAGTAATAATTTTAGAGGGAATTCCTACTAAATCTGATGTTAATAGATTTTTAATTAGAGTTTATGACTAATCGCTTTGTATCTTACTAATTTCATTTGAATGTAGTTGGAGAATCTAAAATAAAAAGCGAAATAGGAAATCAGTAATTCAATGAGTAAATTAAATAAAATAAAATAATTAAAGATAGTGAGCTAAATTTATTAAGTAAATAATAAAACACTAAATAAAATTTATTTGATGATCAAATCAGCAATAACTCTATTATGAAAGAAAGCTAATATTCAAAATATTTTAAAAAATAATAAATTAATTTAGATACAAAATCAATTTAAAGTAGTCCAAACTAAATCTAAAATATAATCAATAATTAGAGTAATGATAACTATGATGAAATAGATGAAAACATTTATTAAGGAATAAAATCCATGACTGAATACGAGTAAGATTTAGTTCCTCCTCCCATTTTTATGCACAGACCTAATTTTGCAGAAAAGAGCCCAATACATAATCTTAAACTAAATAGCCTAATACCATATATTTAATAATAAATATTGCTAGATAGATCAAGTTAATAGGATTATGAAAGAAATTATCTCAATTAATCACAATTTTTCTATGATTAATAACTAAATAAATAAAAAATTGATCATATTTCTAAACGCAATAAAAACAATAATTATCAATGAAAAACTTTACAGATAATTTAATAAATATTATTTTTTCGTTTTCATATATATTTCATGAAATAATTTTAGAAAAGAATTTTATTTTTGAGAAATTTAAATTAGTTTTACTTACAATTATTTACTTGGATGGATTAATTAGCTTTTTTATAAAATTTAAGCAAAAAATAATTTATTTTATTGTATTATAAAAATAAATATGGCAAATAATAATAAAATTAAATATTTAATTAATAATTCTGATATAAGGTAAAGGACGATTATTTATTTGTTTATTACAAATTAGATATTTTTTCAGCAATTAAAAAAAACAATTTAATTAATTTTTATTATTATTTGTAAAAAAATTTTGAATTTTTTCAAAAAATAAAAATTTTATTTTTTTCTAAAAGAAAACTTTATAAATTTAATTTGATCTGTCTGTCATATAATTATTTGTTGTTTTTATCCAAATAAACTAACTTTAAATATCATTAAAATTTTCTAAATACATTTATAATTTATTAACTTTCCATAAATTGATTATCAATATCTTTGAGAGAAAAAACAAATGATTTATTAGAAAAAAAATATAAACTAAATAGAAGAAGATGCTATTTACTTTTCTGAATTTAAATAGTTTATAAACTCTTCGCTTTAATCTCATTCATTTCTCCATATTGATTTCTAGTAAGTTAAATTTATTATTATAAATTTCAATCTTTATTTTTTAATATTTAGTTATCAAATTATTATTACAGTATTATTTTTCTAATAGATAAATAGATATTCTCATCTACCTATCTATCTACGATTTTTATTTTTGCAAATATTTTTAAAAATTACTTTAACTAATTTTTTATTTTAAACATTTACCTTGATTATTATTTAATATTTATTCTTCAATATTTAAAAAGAAAGAATTTATTTGATGATTTGAATGTATCAGAATTAGGTTAAACTTTAGCAAAGTGCACTAATCTCTAAAATTTGATACTTAATCTTAGGTAAAAAGAGTTTATTTGTTATTGATAGTGATATTTTTAATATAAAAATAAATTTAAAAAATTAAAAATTATTTAATTTATTGAATAATTTTTTATTTTAATTTTGGTTGTATTTTTTATTTGAGATAAACTCTTTTTTTCATTTTCAAGTTTTACTTTAATTAATTAATAATTATTTTGTTTGCTTCTCATTATTTCATATTATCTCTTCATTTTTACTTGTAATAAGCTAATTTATTATATTAAAATATCTTCAATTTTAAAAAGTGACAATAAAATTAGTGCAATTGGTGCATCAAACTTAGGCTCTTCTATAGCAAACTGTACTAATCTTTAAAATTTGAAGCTTTATCTCAAGTAAAAATAGTTTATTTGCTTCAATTTTGATATTTTTTAATATAAATAAAACTAAAACAATATAATCCTATTAATTTATTTATTAGCTTTTTATTTGATTTATTTTTCTTTTTTATTCTATTCTAGCAGTTTTTTTCTCTTATTTTAAATTATTTTTTAATTTTCAACTTAAACTTTGATGATTAGTTAATTAGTTATTCATTTCTTATTATTTTATATTTTTTATTCATTTTTTCCTTCAGACTAACTAATTAATTATTTATATTTTTTTAAAATTTAAAAAGTAATAATGAAATTGGTACAATCGGTGCGTCAGGGTTAGTTTCTGCTTTAGCAAAATTCACTAATCTCTCAGAATTGACACTTAATCTCGAGTAAAAGCAGTTTATTGGTTTTAGATCGTGAAATTTTTTATATAAAATTCATTTAAGGCAACAAAACTCTTTTAATTTATCTATTAATTTATATTTTATCATTTTCTTTGATTTATTTTTCTTTTTTATTTTTATCTATTTAGTAACCTACTTGTTTATTTATTTACTTACTTACTTACTTACTTACTTACTTACTTACTTACTTACTTACTTACTTACTTACTTACTTACTTACTTACTTTTTTACTAACTTACTAACTAACTAACTTACTTACTTAATTACTAACTTACTATATTTTAATAAATTAAAAGCTACAGCAGAATTTATTTAGAGGGAGCTTTAGTCTTGATCAATTCACTATCTTATTATACCAAACTTTCAACCTTAAATTTAAGTTTATAGTAAATGTTTATTAATTAAAATCAATTAGTTATTATAAAACAGCAATAATTACACTTATAAATAAGATTAAAAAAAACATTTTAACTCTAAAATAACTTCTTAATTTTTAAAATTTATCTTAAGGGGAACTGTTTTTACCCCATATGGAGTAATATCTTAAAAAAGACCAGAATTAACTAAGTAATCTAGTGTCAAGATTTTAATTCTTAATGTTGCGTAGATATTCTTTATTTTTAAATATATTTCTTTAAAAATATAATGACAATTTTAAAGTATTTATTTATTTATCTTAATAAAAGTATGATTAAAATCTTAAACAAAAAATTTCTTTTATTTAAGATTTTACTTCAAATTAATTAATTAATTTTTTTCTAGAAAATTTAATAAAAATTTTGCTATTTTTGATATTTTAAAAATATACTCTAAAATTTTTAATTTATCTAAATTAAGGTTCAATCCTTCATGCAAATAAGAAAAAGATGTATTAGACTTATTATCTGAATTGCCAAAAGTCTTTACTAACCTAAAATCACTATCACTTTTTCTTATGTAAATTATATAAATAAACTTTTAAATTAGCTAAATAGAATAAAGTTCTTTTCATCAAATATTTGTAAATTGAGAAATTATTTTAAAATAAAATTCTTAATTTTTTAGATAATTAATTAATTAGTTAGTTATTAAATATTAAAAATAAAAATATATTTAAATATTTAAAATAAAATGCCTTTATTTATTATTAAAAATTTTTAGAAATATTATTTATTGCTTTCTTTTTAAAAAGCTAGCTAAAATTTATAATTTTGGTAGATAAAATTTATAATTTATTTTGATCTAAAATTAAACAAAAAATAAATATGTTTGATAACATTATGCTAATTTAAAATAATTAGCTTAAATTAAGGCATTTTATTTTTTTTGCAATTTAATTATTATCTAAATTAATATTTAATTTTAAAAGGTATAATCGATTGGACTAAAAAGATTTATTAAAATTAGGATAGATATTAAATAAATTATTATTTAATCCTATAATTTTAAATATTAGCTTTTATTAAAAATGTCCATTTTTTTCTAAAGCATAAAATGTATGAAATTCTTCAAAAATAAAATTAAGTAATTTTTGATTAGAAATTTTTATAAAACAGCTTAACAGATTTTAAGATTAAGGAGTTATTAATTTATGTAGTGGCTTAGAAAAGTGCAACAACATCAAAAATTTAGCTCTTAATTTTAAGTAATAATTAATATTAAACAAAATTAAATCTAACAAGAAATTTGGATCACTTTTTTAAGAAAAGCTTATAATTAATTAATTGTTCTTCTTTTTTTTTCAGAGTTTTTAAAACTGTAAGTTTTTTTTTAAATAAAGAGTAAATACTGTTTTTAATTATCAGTAATCAATCTTTTTTTAAAACTTAATTAGGTCAACTGGTATTAAACATGAGGGTTTTTCAAATTTAGCAATATTCTTACACTAATGCACAAGGCTATCAACGCTTAAATTAACTTTTGAGTAAGCAGATTTATTTTAAATATTTTTCATATTAAAATTTTTTAAGATTATTTAGTTATTTATTTATTTATTTTTTGTTTTTATTAATATCTTAAAAGTTTTTATTGAAATTACTAATTTGAAATAATTAATTTATAATTTTCAGAGAAAAATTAATCTTTGATAAAATATTTTGGAAAAATTAAATAAATAATAATTTTTATTTAAAAAAAAAAACTATTTTATTGAGTATTTACTTTCTTACTTACTTACTTTTTTTTTAAATGATAATTTTTAATGATTAAAATTTAATGAAAAGTGATGTTTTTGATTTCTTAGAAAATAATTGCATTTATAATTGCTTAAAAATGCTAAGATTGGTTGAATTCTATTTAACTGATACACTTAATGATATTAAGGTAATTTAAAATTTATTATTAGTATAAATAAATACCTATTTTATTTTGTTGCAATTAATTTATTTAAATCTATTTTTTACAAGATTTAGAAGTTTAAAATAAATATTAATTAGTTTTGAGAATGTAGATAGTAAATTCAATAAAATGAAGATTTTTTTGTCCTGTTTGTGCTAAACTTACTTTAAAAAGGATCATTTTAAGATTATATATTTTAAAGTTATTAATTTCAGTAATAAGTTAAATAAATATTTGTTTATATTCATATTATTTTAACTAATATTATTATTATTATTTACACTATTTGTTTATCTGAATTCATTTATTTATCAAAGGTAATCAGAATTTTTTTCTTTTTATATTAAAATGAATAAATATTATTTTCAGGAATTTGAAAGTTGATTATTTATTTTTTTCCATAATTCAGTTAGATCATAAATATGTTAATTATTATAAAAATATTATGTCTTTAATCAAAGGGTAAAAAAGTATAAAAATACACAATATCAAAATTAATCCAAATTATTTGATTGAATGTAAATTTTTTAAATAAGATAATTTTATGAAATATAAATTTATAATTGAATATTTCTAAAAAAAGAAAGATGACTGAATAAACAAAAATTCAGGATACAATTCATAGAATATCAAATAGTCATTCAATTCAGTCATCAATTACTAAATATTGTAAATTATAATATAATAATTGATATTAATGATAAATAAATAAATGTATGTATGTATGTATGTATGTATGTATGTATGTATGTATGTATGTATGTATGTATGTATGTATGTATGTATGTATGTATCCAAAATTTATCATAAATAAAAATGAATTAAAAAAAAATGGCTTAGAACTAACATTTTCAAATATATTTATTTATTTTTATTTAATTTTAAACTCATTAATTAATACATACCCAAACCACTAACTAGATTTTAATTAGGCATTTGGCTATAATATTCGCCTCATTCATTACTGACTAAAATAGAAAAATCTAATATCTTAAAATTACTTAAGTAAATATAAATACATTATCTAACAAAGTATTATCAACATATAAATAACTACCCATCATTGATTGATTCATGCTTTTTTATAAGTATAAGTAAGATTTTACTAGAAAAATAAGATTTAAAAATTAATTAATGTAAGTAATACTAACATTTTAGTGATATCTCATCCTAAAAGCAAATTTATAAATTTTTATTTGTTAATTATAAAAACTTATTTATTTTTTCTTTTTATCTAAATTAATTTCATATAAAAGTTAATTAATTTATTATATTAATCAATCAAATTTTCATAAATTGATATTCTTTCTATATTTTAAAAAAAATAAAAATAAATGATATCAGAGAATACATAATTTAACGATTTAGAAGAAGTAAATATTTATTTTTTTATTAATATTATTTAAATTATTTTTATAAATAAAATAAGTTTTTAAGCTCTTCACTTTAATCCTTTTAGGTTCTCCATCTTGATCTAAACAAAAGGTAGGTATATTTGATTTTTTAATATTATTATTACTATTAATGTTTTTTTATTTTTAATTTTTAAATGATTTAAAATATTATTTTTCTAATTAAAATTATCATGTATTACATACATTACACGTTCTTTCACTTTTATTTATAATAATATTTTTTCATTATTTTAACTTAATTTTCAATGAATTTTTATTTTATTTTGATTATTAATTAATTTTTTATTACTTTTATTTTTTATAATTTTTCTTCATTATTTTTCCTTCTAACTAACTAATTGACTATATATTTTTTCTTCTAAATTAAAATAGAAGGACTTATATTGGTGATGAAGATGCATCACGCTTAGGTTTTGGTTTAGGATAGTGCACTAATCTCTCAAATTTGATACTTGAACTAAGGTAAAACCAGTTTATTTATTTTGGATTATGAAATTTTTGTAAATTAAAATGAATTTAAAACAATATGACTAACTCTTTTATTTTTAATTAGCTTATTATTTTTCTTTTTTTTTTATTTGTTTTTTTTATTTGATAGGATTTTCTTTTTTTTTAATTATAACTAGTGTTTTTTTTATTTTTTTATTAATTTAATACATTGTTTGTTTGTTAACTTAACTTGTTATTTCATTTTCAATTTCTGATTTTATTATTAATTAATTAATTTCTTATTATTTTATATTTTTTTTCATTCTAACAAGCTGATTAAATATATATTTTTTCTTTAATATTTAAAAAGTGGAAATTAAATTGGTGCAATCGGTGCATCAGGCTTAGGTTCTGGTTTAGGAAAGTGCACTAATCTCTCAAATTTGACACTTCATCTTTAGTAAAATCGGTTTATTTGTTTGGAATTATGATCTTTTTGAATACAAAAATGAAATTTAAATAATATAATAAGCTCTTTTAATTTATTTATTAGCTTTTTTGATTTATTTTTTTATTTTTTTTTATTAAACTTGTTTTTTCATTTATTTCTTTGTTTATTTTTAATTTAACTAATTTTTTCATTTTTTAAAATAATTTGCTTTTATTATTAATTAAAAAAAAATTTCTTATTTTTTCATATTTTTTCTTCTTTTTTTTTTCTAATTTAAAAATTAACTATTTATTTTTTCACCAATATTTAATAAGGTCCAATTAAATTGGTGACGAAGGTTCCTCAGGCTTAGGTGCTGGTTTAGGAAAGTGTGCTAATCTCTCAAATTTGACACTTCAACTTTAGTAAAATCAGTTTATTTGTTTTTGATATTTTCTTTTTTTTTGATTTAATTTTCTTTTTTTATTATGCTTGTGTTTATTTATTTATTTCTTTGTTTGTTAATTTGTTAATTTAACTTATTTTTTATTTTCAAATTTTAATTTTATTTTTAATTAATTAATATCTAATTATTTTAAATTTTTTCTTCATTGTTTCCTTCTAACTAACTAGTTAACTATTAGTTTTTTCTTCTTTATTTAAATAGTGGAAATAAAATTGATGCAATCGGTGCATCAGGCTTAGGTTCTGGTTTAGGAAAGTGCGCTAATCTCTCAAATTTGACACTTAATTTTTTGTAAAAACAGTTTACTTATTTTGAATTGTGATCTTTTTGATATAAAAATGAATTAAAAGATAACTAACTTTTTTAATTTATTTATTTATTTATTAGCTTTTTATTTGATTTATTTTTCTTTTTTTATTCTACTTGAGTTTGTTTGTTAATTTTCGTCATTTTTTATTTTTCAACTTTTTCTTTTATTATTAATTAATTACATAATTTCTTATTATTTGATATTTATTTTAATACTTTCATTCTAACTAACTACTTTATTAAATTTTTTTTTTTCAATAATTAAAAAGTGGAAATTAAATTGGCGCAATTGGTGCATAAGGTTTAGGTTCTGGTTTAGGAAAGTGCACTAATCTCTCAAATTTGACACTTAATCTAATGTAAAAACAGTATATTTGTTTTGGATTGCGATTTTTTTGAAATTAAAAATGAATTTAAAAAAATAAAACTAACTAACTAACTCTTTTAATTAATTTATTAGTTCTTTATTTGATTTATTTTTTATATATCCTGCTTTTTTTTTTTAATTTTGCTAATTTAATTCCTTCCTTTTTTCAATTTCAACTTTATTTTTCTTCGTTTTTTTCTTCTAACTAACTAATTAACTATTTCTTATTTCATCAATATTTAAAAAGGTCTAATTAAATTGGTGATGAAGGTACATCAGGCTTGGGTTCTGGTTTAGGAAAGTGTACTAATCTTTCAAATTTAACTCTTCAACTTTAGTAAAATCAGTATATTTGTTTTTAAATGTGATATTTTTGAATATAAAAATGAATTAAAAAAAACTAACTCTTTTAATTTATTTATTTATTTATTAGCTTGTCATTTGATTTATTTTTCTTTTTTATTATTATGGTTGTGTTTGTTTTTTTTATATTTATTTCATTTTTTATTTTAATTTAACTCATTTTTCATTTTCAAATTTTGCTTTTATTATTTATTAATTCATTTCTTATTATTTTATATTTTTTCTTCAATATTTAAAAAGTGGAAATTAAATTGGTGACAAAGGTGTATCAGGCTTAGGTTCAGGCTTAGGAAACTGCACTAATCTCTCATATTTGACACTTCATCTTTAGTAAATGCTGTTTATTTGTTTTAGATTGTGATATTTTGAATATAAAAAGGTTATAAAAAACTAAATCTTTTCATTTTTTTTATTTTGCTGGTGTTTTTTTAATTTATTTATTTATTTCTTTGTTAGTTTGTTAATTTTCTTCATTTTTTCATTTTCAACTTTTGTTTTTATTATTAATTAATTAATTCATTTTTTATTTTATATTTATCTTCATTTTTTCCTTCTCATTAATTAAAAAGTAGAAATTTAATTGGGAATGAAGGGGCATCAGGTTTAGGTTCTGGTTTAGGAAAGTGCACTAATCTTTCAAATTTGAACATTTATCTTTAGTAAAAAGAGCTGTTTGTTAAATTTCCTCATTTTTTCATTTACAAATTTTATATTTATTATTAATTAATTTCTTATTATTTTTTCATTTTTTTCTTATAACTAATTAATTAACTATTTATTTTTTCTTAACTATTCAAAAAGGGAAAATAAAATTGGTGAAATTGGTGCATAAGGCTTAGGTTCTCATTTAGTAAAATGCACTAATCTCTCAAATTTGACACTCAATCTTTTGTAAAAACAGTTGAATATAAAAATGAATTTAAATCAATAAATATAATTTTCTTTTTATTTTTTTTATGCTAATTTTTTTAGAAATTGATTTTAAAAAAATATTATATTTCTTTACTTTTTTTTAGTAATTTACACTAATTTATATTAAAAGTCATAACCTAATTGATAGATCACAATAATTGAAAGTAAAGTGTCTCAAGTTAAAAAGATTAGTTGCCTTAAAAATAAATTTTAAATGATATAAAAAAGGGTGAAATATAAAGAATAAAAATAAATATTTTTT